GATTGTTAACGGAATTTGAAGCAATAGTGTTTTGTTAATTCACTCCTAAAATGAAGCTCCTTCGACTGTATAACATGTGAATTATAAAATATAGTTAACCGTTACATCAACTATCCACGATAGAATTAAACGGTTACAAATCCAGACAGAATGATTTCATGATTGCTTGTATTGCGTGAGTGTTACCCAGGCCAACAATATTAGGTTATATTTAGTAGTGAAATAAAGTTTATACTTTATTTAGTTAGTTTATAAATTTTATGTATTAAAATAAGTCTCGTAAACTTATTTAGGTAACTTTTCAGATAAACTAGTTGAAATTTTTATTTCAATTAGCTTATGAGCTAATTTACCAAACCACTTTTATCAAATAAAGTAGTTTTTCAGCTATAAATCATAAGTTATAAAGTATAAGTTCAAAAATTACATATAAGCTATAAGCTAGCTTATCAGCTAGTTTTACCAAACTTAACGTACATAGTACATATAAGTTAGGAGTTAGCTTATCAATTATTTTTATCAAGCATATCCTTAATTATAGTGACACCATATACAAAGATGAGAAATGCTCACTTACCCACGGTGGGCACATGTTAATATGTCCATCACGATGAGTGCATGCCACGTACGCGGTGGGTATATTAACATGTGTCCACCGTGGGTAGATGAACATTTCTAATACAAAGATATGGCATTCTTTTATCTCTCTCTCTTTTTTTTTTTTTTTTTTTTAATTAGGTGTGAAAAAGTGAAAGGTTAGCGACAAAGTGTGCCCAAACCCCAAAACATAGGAAAAGAAAGGGCAGATAAAAGAACAAAAGTGTGCTTAATGGGAATGTGATTTCTTAAAAGTGAGAAAGGAGGTAAAATTATTCCCCGCCACCCACTCCTTAATTATTATGGAGTATAGTTGTGAGATGCAAATGCATCACTTACTCTACTTCAAAATTGTCAAGTGAAAGTCAACATGCCCAGATACATTGTATCTAATGAGGTCTGATAGGGATACTAGTGTCGACTCGAATTAAACCAAACAAAGACCCGGGAGACCGAGGTCATATAGGCATAAAGGCCGAACCAAGTGAGATGGGCCGGGAGGGGGTCGACCAGTTTGAACGGCCGAACACGGCTTAGGATCGAGTGGAGGTCAACCGGATCAAGCAATCGAACACAAGCCCAATCGACCGTGTGGTGAAATGGGTCGAATTTCACCCGTACGTGCAGAGTTGATCGAGTTGCACTCCGAGTTACATTTATTACATACTATTCATCTATTCCTAAATATTGACATTTGGGCGTCGGAGGGTCTTGCACCGAAGCAATTATGACGCTTTTGCAGGTATCGGCGAGCTTAGGGATTCGGGCTAAGCTGAACCCGGTAGATCCACGTTCAAATCAGAGAGAACCTTTCGTAAGACCGGAGGCATTTATCTCGGACCATATCAAGGTCCACACGGGTTAGGATCAAAACCCAACTCGAATTGAGATATTTAGGGGGTGATTGTTTACAAAATAATTTACTCACTTTTATTTCAACTCAAAATCTAA